GATTTACAATTTGAAGTAAATCAGTGGCATTTGCATTTCATTTATTACCACCGTTTATCTCAAATCTTCTTAGGTCATCTTTTTATGGTCTTAAAAAATTTCAATGCCAGGTATCAGTAACAACCAATGTGCTAGCAACAGTCTTAGCTAATCTGTATTCTGAAGGATTTGGCATTCCTACTAAAGATCCAGACGATGATGGAACGGATAAACATGTTCAAGACGCGAGTGGAACTGGTATGGGAGAGGGTGCAGGATTAAATGATGTGAGTGACCAGATGATGGATGAGGATCAGCTGCTTGGTGCTAATGAGAAGGTATGCTATGCATAATCGTACAAGGCCCTTTCCTTTATAATCAGACTTACTGTTTGTTGTTATTTTCAATTCTTTATTGATTTTTCTAATAATACATTTGTTCTTCAGGCAAGTGAGCTAGATGCTCCAAATGAAAACCCAAGTGAAAATGATAAAGGTATTGAAATGGAGCAAGATTTTGATGCAGAAACATTTAGTGTTAGTGAGGATTCTGAGGAGGACAATGAAGATGATGGAGATGAGCAATTGGAGTCCGCTCTGGGCGAAACAGGAGCTGAAAGTGATGTAGTTGGTGAGAAAATGTGTAACAAGGACGAAGATGAATGTCCCGATAATGCGAATGAAAAAGTTGAATCAGTGCCTCCAGTTGAGAATGAGGATGTTGGCCCTTCTGAACTTAGAGCCAATGATGAACTTTCGGCTTCTGCAGATGAAAATGGTAAGACAGATAATGATGAACAAAAAGAACAGAATGATGAAGGTGAAATTAATCCTGACTCTTTCGATGGAGAGGAAGATGAGGAAATGAAATTAGATAAAGAGCAAGAATTTTCTGAACCACCAGAATCGAAGCATGAAGAGTCAAATGAATGTTCAGATCTGGAGATGGATGAAAAAGAGGATGCATCTTCTGTGCAAGATGATCTTGAAGAGGATGGAAACAGTACCGAGAACGGGAATGTCGAGGAGAATGTGACCGATCCAATAGATGAAAATATGACTGAAGCTGAGACCGAGCGTGAAACCTCTGAAATGGACATTGAGGATGGTGAGCGTGAGGAAAATAATCAACTGAATGCAATGGCACCAATGAATGATGCAACAGGGGCAGGTGAAAACGCGCAAAATGCTGAATCTGCTACTCGACCAAACGGTGGCTTGCAGTCGTCAAACTCTAGGAATATTGACCTTGAGAAAAGCTTGTCTAGAAGCAATGAAATACAAAATGATGGTGCTCCATCAAGAGGCATGCCTAGTGGTGATGCTTCTGAGACTGATATCTTGGCAGCAGACTCATCGAGTGGTGGGCGATTCTCTGATGATCCTTTAAATACTCAATTGCCTCAGCGTGAAGCGTCGTCTTTTCAGAAAATGCAACCGAATCCTTATCGGAATGTTGGTGATGCACTGAATACGTGGAAGGAAAGAGCAAGAGTTTCGGTTGATCTTGAGGCAAATAATGCAGATGTACAAGATGAGATGGAGGACGAAGAAGCAGAAGAGTATGGATTTGTTTCTGAATTGGAAAAGGGTTCTGCTCAGGCAATGGGACCCGCAACATCGGAGCAGATTGATAGAGCTGCCAATGATAATAATTTTGACAACGATAGTACTGCTGCCATGAAGTCTGACATCGCTGAGCCAATGGAGTCTGAGAAACAAGATCTTGGAACTCATGCTTTGAGTCGTTCCTCCATTCATAAGAGCACGGTAGATGATCCCGTACCTGTTTCAAATTTGGAGAATCCAACTGAAGAGGAATCTCAAGAAATTCATAAAACTGAAGATGGTGATTCTACACCCATTTCGGATAATTTGGTATCCGTCAATAGAACTTACTTGAATGAGCCAATGCGTAAATTTGAAAAGCTCTCTGTCAGTGATGATGAGTTGGGGAAAGTGAACGATACTGAAGTAGTCCCTAATGAGCTGAAAGATAATGCAACCTCTCTCTGGCGGAAATACGAACTGCGCACGACTAGGTTATCTCAGGAGTTGGCCGAACAACTGCGTCTCGTCATGGAGCCAACTCTTGCCAGCAAGCTCCAGGGGGATTACAAAACTGGCAAGAGGATCAATATGAAAAAGGTATCTTCTATGCAATCTTCTCTTAAACTTGTCATTTTCTTCAAAAGAAACTCCTAAAAACAATCTATTGCTTGGAATGCATTCAGGTCATTCCCTATATAGCAAGTCATTATCGCAAAGATAAGATATGGATGAGAAGGACGAGGCCGAACAAACGTGATTACCAAATTGTTATCGCCGTGGATGATTCCCGGAGCATGTCTGAAAGTTGTTGTGGAGATGTCGCCATTGAAGCTTTAGTGACTGTATGCCGCGCCATGTCCCAACTAGAAATGGGAAGCTTAGCAGTTGCAAGCTTCGGGAAGAAAGGAAACATAAGGTTACTGCATGATTTTGATCACGCATTCACGGCAGAGGCTGGTGTCCAGGTATTGAATTATCTGTTGCTTAATGTTCGACTCTTTATGCTTTCGTTACACTTACGCCGTAACGCCGTATCTAAAATATATCAGACACTCAAACCCTTTTTATATCTGATGAATGTGTATACAGATGATCTCCAATTTAACATTCAAACAAGAGAACAGCATCACCGATGAACCTGTTGTCGACCTATTGAAATATCTGAACGACACACTGGATAACGCAGTCACCAAAGCACGTCTTCCATCTGGATTCAATCCCTTACAGCAGCTTGTTTTAGTAATTGCAGATGGACGATTTCATGAGAAGGTGATGCACTTTCTCAGTTATTATTTATTGTCACTGGACAAAACATTGGCAGTCTAATACTTTTTTTTCCTGTTCTTTGAGACATGAACTGTTCATTGGATTATTTTCATAAACATCATTTTTCCTTTAACAGGAAAACTTGAAACGTTACGTGAGGGATATTCTAAGTCGGAAACGTATGGTTGCGTTTTTGCTTCTCGATAGTCCGCAAGAGTCCATCATGGACCTCATGGTATTCCTTTTTTCGCTCGATAACTTCGCTTCCTTTCCGAGGATTTAGATTCAAATGTTCTTCCCATTTACTACGAACTCTCTGGTTTTCAGGAAGCTTCTTTTGAAGGTGGAAATATTAAGTTCTCAAAGTACATGGATTCCTTTCCATTCCCATATTACATAATTCTAAGGAACATCGAAGCTCTTCCTAGGACTCTTGGAGATCTTCTGAGACAGGTAAAAACAAAACCAAAGGCAAAAACTTGGCTCTCATATCAGATGAGTTCTCTTTTCCTTTTGCTTGTTTTAATGCTCTTTTTTCCTGTGTTGCAGTGGTTTGAGCTTATGCAGAATTCTGGGGACTGAACTTAGGCAACTTTAGAGGGAAACGTTGGATGTATATTGGCATTTTACGCTACAAAAATGTAACTGAGTTCATAATTATTATCAATATAAATCACAAGTTTCCTTCACTGTCTTGTCTGCCTCCTGGTTCTTATCTTCCCTGTTGTTGGGTCACTGTTTTTTTATCACAAGTTTCCATCAATTATTGTCCCTCAAAAGGCTTTATTGTTCAAAGCCCCTGTTTGGCTCTACGAATGTGATCTTATAGCTTCATCTATCCATTCCCTTAAGGCCTTTGTGTAGCTACTCTTTCCAATTAGAAAAACCTTCTCGATTCTACTTTACGTATTCAAATCGTCCTCTTTGGATTGTATCTTACACGTATGAATAATATCTCTTTAAGATCGTGCTTTTACCCTAAATTCTTTTCAACTAGATGGGGCCAAGAAGGTAGCTTATAACTAAAATATAGGGATGAAGAATGAAGTTTTGGGTAAAATCTCATATTTTACCCTAAATTTGGCATCCTGTATTAATTTTAATTAAACTTCAAACTTGGCTAATTGTTTCAATCACCATAAAAAAAGGTTACTTATAGCTGCCCTTGTTATTCTATAATAGGTGCTTGTATTTGGGTCCTTGCAGGTTAGTCCATTTAGTAACATTGCAATCAATTGCTAACATCAGATGCTTTAGTGATTGGATTCACAAGAAGAAAGGAAATTAGTGAAGTGCTAGCAGACTCATGGAGAAGGACAGCGTCTAAGAAACTTTCTATTTTCTGGTAAAGATAACAAATAACTTAGAAAGAAAGCCTATGCCATCATTATTCTTGTAATACTCCTAACCGATATTGTCTTATTTTGGTTTTTTCTTTTGGGCTTTCCTTCAAAGTTTTCAACACGTGTCTATTAGGGAGAGGTTTCCCCACACACTTATAAATAATGTTTCTTCCTCCTCTCCAACCGATGTGGGATTTCACAATCCACCCCCTCCAGGGCTTAGTTAGTGTCTTTGTTGTCACTCGTTCCCTTCTCCAATCGATGTGGGATCCCCCAATCCACCCCCATCAGGGACGTTGGGCAACTGCCTTGTGTCTACCCCCTTAGGGGTCAACATCCTCGTTGGCATATTGCCCTGTGTCTGACTCTGATACCATTTGTAATAGTCTAACCCCACCGTTGTAGATATTGTTCTCTTTAGGTTTTTCCTGTTTTTAAAATGTGTAGGCTAGCGAGAGGTTTCCAAACTATTATTCTATAAAAAAACGTTAACCAAATTGTCGTAAAACTCACACAAAAACAAACTCTTGTATTCTCCTTGCCAATAGTGATATTACTAGCAACAACAAAAGTGAGAAAGATCTAGATAGTAACACCGTTGAAAGGTAGCAACAATGTCAATTTCTTGACTTCAATGGTGAAGAAATTGAGATCGACTAAGACGAGCTATGCGCATAAAACCAACGAGCTAGTTATAGGCTACCTTCTTGACCCCGTCTAGCTACTAATGATGAAAGTGATACTGGTGAAATATATTTCCATAAGATTTGTAAAAGCTTTACTTATAATGAGAGAGAGAGAGAGAGAAAAAAAAAAACTTGTAAAACAATCAAATATGATTGGTGGAGTTTCAAGTACATGCGCCGCAGAGGATAAAAACCCGGAAATACGGTCTCGATGGATAGGGTTTACACGTCACTCATTAGTTCGAACGACCCGCCGCCTTGCGGCCCAACAAAGATGGAAAACCCTAAAGAAGCAAAGCAAGCCATTTTTCCTAATCCAATACCGCCACGTGTCAGTCATCTTTTCCTCCTTTTATGTTTGCCTCACTCCTCTTTCCACGCTCATCCGGTTTCCCTTCTTCATCTCCGACCGCCATTGCCACCCAATCGGAGCCCTAAAATTCCCTCTTACATTCAATCTCAATTCCTCTGGTTCGCGACAAAATTCTTCTGCTGTTGATGTTTTCGTTTCACCTGGAAATGGTGGAACAATACGTCATCGATTGTATTCCATCGAAAACCTGGTTCCACAAGAGGAAAAAAAACTCTTCCGAATTGAATAATTCAAGATCCGTCTCTGTCAAATTTGTATATTAATCGAAAATTTTGTACAGTTCACCTTCATCTTCTTCGTCACACGTTTTCTAGATTCGGTTGTAGACTGAAGAACTGGCGCCGGAGATTTGAGCTTTGAAGTTTAGAAAAATCTCGATCGTTCATTTTCCGTTCTGTTTCTGGTTTTTTTTTTTTTTTTTTTTTTTTTTTTGTTTCAGTGAAGCTTTGTAAAGGTGGCGAAGATGAATTTAGGAGCGGCGGAGGAAGAATCGCCGCAGGAGATTCATATTCCGGCCGAAATCGATTGGCAAATGCTCGATAAATCCAAATTCTTCTTCCTCGGTGCGGCGTTGTTTTCAGGTGTTTCTGCGTCTCTTTACCCTATGGTAGTGTTGAAAACTCGACAACAGGTCGCTCATTCGCAGCTTTCTTGCATCAGAACCGCCTTCCACCTTGTCCGGCACGAAGGTTTCCGAGCTCTCTACCGTGGATTTGGGACTTCTCTGATGGGGACTATCCCGGCTAGGGCTCTGTACATGGGAGCTCTTGAGTTTACTAAGAGCTATGTAGGGACTGCCACTGTTAGAGTCGGATTTCCAGAGGCCACTGCCGCTACCATTGCTAATGCAGCTGCTGGATTGAGTGCTGCAATGGCTGCTCAGCTTGTGTGGACTCCTGTTGATGTTGTGAGTCAGAGACTCATGGTTCAAACTCATTTCAACAATCCTAATCCTTCCTCGACTCGTTACATTAATGGAGTCGATGCATTCCGTAAGATCCTCAATGCCGATGGTATCCGAGGCTTGTATCGAGGTTTCGGGATATCGATTTTGACATATGCACCGTCGAATGCAGTGTGGTGGGCTTCTTATTATGTAGCACAGCGGTTAGTATGGGGCGGAATTGGATGCTATTACTCAAAGAAGCTTGATGAAGGCAATGAAAATGGAGGTTCAATCGTTTACAGACCGGATTCCAAGACGGTGATCGCAGTACAGGGCGCGAGCGCAGCCATGGCAGGGAGTATCTCAGCTCTGATAACAATGCCCCTCGATACAATCAAGACGAGATTGCAAGTTTTGGATGGGGATGAGAATGGTAGACGAGGGCCAACAATTGGACAGACATTGAGAAATCTGGTGAGGGAAGGCGGGTGGACGGCGTGCTACCGAGGGTTGGCGCCGCGATGCGCGTCGATGTCGATGTCTGCAACGACAATGATCACTACATATGAGTTCTTGAAACGGCTATCAACCAAGAATCGAGAGGGATTAACAAGCTGAACAAACAAACAGCAGGAAGATAATGATGATGATCACGTCATTTTCTGGAACTGTCTCTGATAATTCTCCTTTTTGTTGATGTAATGCAAGGTATGGCAATGTTCATATATAAAATGTATAGAAATAATTACTTGCTGTAAAATTGGTAGCTTTTTTCTTCCATTTTCCCCCACTATATTTATGTTTTTAGAGTATTTTTTTCATGGAGTTAAGAAAAAATTGAAGAACTGGAGATTATCCAGATGAATTAAGAGATTGTTGTTGTATAAATGAAGATTTCAACAACATTAATCATAACGACCAGAAAAGACATTCATGTATTATATAAGTGGGCCTATACCTTATTGGGTAGTTAATGATAATTGAAATTATAATGGTGTAGTGGGACCCTGGGTTAGAAGTTTCTAGTTTTGGTTTGAATTACGAGATTTTGAATCTAAAGAAACATCAATGAGTTATGCTCATGTTAGCCGCAAATACGAGAATTCGAATCTAAAGAAATACGGATGAATTATGCTCAAGTTAGTCGTGAGTACCAGCATTCCGAATCTAAAGAGATACTGATGAGTTATGTTTAGGTTAGTTGTGAGTATGAGAATTCGAATTTACTGATGAGTTATGCTCTAGTTATTTATAAGTACGAGAATTACAATCGAAAGAAATACTAGTGAATTATGCCTAAGTTAGCTGTGAGCACGAGAATTTGAATCTAAACAAATACGGGTGAATTATGCTTACGTAAGTTAGCATGAGAATTTGAATCTAAACAAATACGAGTGAATTATGCTTAAGTTAGCTGTGAGTACGAGAATTTGAATCTAAACAAATACGGGTGAATTATGCTTACGTAAGTTAGCACGAGAATTTGAATCTAAACAAATACGAGTGAATTATGCTTAATGTGAGTACAAGAATTTGAATCTAAACAAATATTGATGAGATATGCTCGAGAATTACAATCTAAAGAAATACAAGTGGTGAATTATACTTAAGTTAGTTGTGAGTACGAAATACTAAAGAGTTCTGCTCAAATATTGATGAGTTATGCTCGGATTATAAGTACGAGATTTACAATCTAAAGAAATGCTAGTGAATTATGCTTAAGTTAGCCGTGAGTATGAGAATTTGAATCTAAACAAGATGAGTTATGGTCGAGTTTAAGTACAAGAATTACAATCTAATGGTGAGTTATGCTTAAGTTGGCCGTGAGTAGGAGAATTTGAATCTAAACAAATACTGATGAGTTATACTCAGATTATAAGTACGAGAATTACAATCTAAAGAAATACTCGTGAGCTATACTTAAGTTGCCGTGAGTACAAGAATTTGTATCTAATTGATGAGTTTTGTTCAAGTTAGCTAGACGTGAGTACGAGAATTTGGATCTAAAAAGAATGCTCGGATTAGCCTATTTATTCCATAAAAAAAAAAAAAAAAAAAAAACCAATCTCCTAATCACCGAGTACTTGTAACTACGGAGCATTAAAAGGAAAGAAGACTAAGAGGCAATCTAAAAGACTATAGAAATATTGACTTTACATAGAAACTGAGAAGGCAGAAAACTGGAAAAACCTGAAATGTGCTTTAAAAGCCAACAAAGCAATTGCCCTGTGATTCCATTATCAAAACACAAATTTCCTTTCCCATTGTTTAAATGCGGCTTCTTTTGCTGCTGCAGGATGGGCATTTGTACTGATTAATGTGCACGGCTTTTGCAGGAGTTATTCTAACACACTTTCCATGGAACCATTTCTCACAGATATCACAGCAAATCCAAAACTCATCTGTTGCATAATTCTCACCACACGCCCCACACAAGGTGTCGCCGTGCTCATCTTCGTCTTCTTCGTACAACGCCTCTACGTCTTCCCTTGCCAGCGGCTGCCTCACATACACTCCTTGCGTTTCAGTTTCCCTCTGAAAACAGTTGAAACATGGAAAGAATTAAGTAACCATACAAGCGATCGATCGTGTAAATTTCATCACGCCAATAAGTAAGCTATAGGGTATCTTTCATCCTTGCTCGGTTCGATCATGTAAATTGCATCACGCCAATAAGTAAGCTATAGGGTATCTTCCATCCTTGCTTGGTTTCTACGCTGACTAGGTGGAGGGGAAATGGTGAGCCACAGGTACAGGCATGAACTAAATTGATCACAAATTAAGACAGTTGACAAACTGAAGGATTGGAGACTGTCCAACGGAGCGATAAGCATTATCATAACTAATATCATTGCCCCAGCTCAATCATTTTTCTATATGTCGAGGCGGGGGGAAGTATCAAAGCTACATCGTTTGGTACAGATACGAAATCAAGAAGATTGCATTCAGAAATAGAGTACCACTAGTGAAATCTATCAACCAACTGAAAACTGAAGACCTATCATAACTAATATCATTGCCCCAGCTCAATTCTTTTTCTATATGTCGAAGCGGGTGGGGAAGTATCTAAGCTACATCGTTTGGTACAGATACGAAATCAAGAAGATTGCATTCAGAAATAGAGTAATCTGTCAACCAACTGAAAACTGAAGACCTATCCACATACCGTTTTAAGGCTCGACTTGGATTTGCTACCATTCGCACTTGATGCCTTTTCCTTGACTTGTTTCTTCGCAAGACCTGTAACTACTTCAAATACAGTGGGCAAATCATTGATCATATTGAAAAGCCGCCTCCTGCATCGAAAAACAAGGCAAAACATTTTCTAGCAAGATCATCCATCATGATTGTTGAAAGGACTCCTCCTATATGAACAAAGTTCAAAATCGAAGTACCTATCAGCTTTATCAAATCCAAATCTCGCACCAAAATAGTAGGCAACAGAGAGCAACCAAGAGTCACTATGGACAGCAACCAAAGCCAACCAATCCCTTTCTTGCATGCCATCTCTTGCAAAATTAATACCCAACGCCGGCTCTGGAAGTTCTGGAGGAACTTCTTCTGCAGGTAAATTAACTTCCCATACTTCATTTGGAAATCCATACAGGCATAGATTTTCCTTATCTGTAAGCACCAAATAACCGTTATAAATTAATTAGCTAGAAAGGATGTTCTAAACAAAAGACCAAGAACGTAAAATCTAGAACTTAACCAAAGAAAAATGGACGAATTGAATGCATATTAAATCAAACGAATGGGGATGGGGACAAAAGCTGACATTGCAGATAACAAGGAGACACAATTCAACTTCATACACAATAAATTCGTGGCTTAGATAAGAAGAAGCAAACAGAGATTTAGGACTGTACCAGGATCACATTGTTGATAGAATTCTTCAACATCTGCAATGATAAAACTGAAGAGAATTAGATATTCACAACTCCCAAATGTAACCAAAAGCCAAGGTCCAAACAACCAACCGCTCCTAGCTCCCAATCAAAGTTATAGAAATAAAGCGTCCACCCTTTGACCTTCTTGAACAAGAAAATCAGCAAGACACAAAATATGGATAACATAAAACCAAATAAAGACCTCTCGACTACCTGAACAAGATAAGTTTTCATTCTACATTTATCAAGTATTTCATTCCAACAAAAAATTAGTCGATTGATACAAAAGTTGTCAACAAACTTATAGGAACATATACTTGTAGGATTTGCAGCCTTGCCAAAGCACCAGAATTGTTGCAGAGAGTAGTCGCAACAATTTTTAAAATGCAGGCAAAGGAAGAGAGCTCTCTGGCTACAATTCCTATACTCTCTCTTATCTCTTACCGTCTGTAGACGGCCGTGCATGTACACAACTTGACCAAAAAAAATATGATCCGCATTCAGGAGAAAAATTCATAATTCAATTCAACGCTTATACGGCGAAAACTAGACTGAGACACAAAATTTCACGACAGTCATGTAAACCAAGAGTAGCGCATTCGAGAACACATTTCTTCTATCCTCGTTTTCTCTCAAAAACCAAACGAAAACGTCACAAACAAGAACGCAAAAAATCAACCAAAAACAACGAAGGTGAAAACAATCCACTCCGAAACGCAAGGTTGAAGGACGTAAATTACGTACTAAAGCCATTAAAACAGCAAAAACATACAATGAATTACCACCACGGCTGGTTTCTTTCCGTCTCATAGAAAGAGTCAACAACGATAAAAAGGAAAGAATAATATACCTACGGTGAGAGCTTTGATGACGCCGTTTCTTCGGCCCCTAAAATCACTGAAAACATCTTCGACTGAGCGATTGTGCACTGCGCCACCTCCATCCATGACCGTTTCTTCTTGCTCGTCCCTCTGCGGCTTCCGGAGACGAAAGAGTCAAAAGCGAAAAGAAAAAACTGCAGATTACCTAAACAAAGAGAGAGAGATTCCAAAATCAAAAATCTCAATCTGCAAAATGATCATACATATATATATATATATATATGGTTATCGATCGCGAACAGAGAAATTTGAATTTGTTGAAGGGCAAATTCGGATTATCCCTCTGTATATCCGTATTTCGGATCCAAACGCCTTTTTCTAAAATAATAATATTCTAATTTTATTCAAATTCAAAATATATTTTCAATTCGGCTGAATCTTAACAAAAAAAATTAAATTAAATTAAATTATTTTTAAGGTCGAATTACCAATTTTGTAATTTTTTTTTTAAATTCCTCCCAACTAGTTATTTCTTTTCACAAATATCCCAAGTTTTTTTTTTTAGTATTTAAAAAATAATGCAGGTCAACTACCGTTGACTATGCTCATATGGCAAGATTAAAATATTATTATATATATTAGAATATATATTCATTTTTTTTAGTGTGAATAAAATATTATAAATTTCTTACATGATTTGTTTGTACGTGTGGGTGTATATATTATAAAAATAATAAAATGCAACAAAATATCCAAATACTATTTTTTGTCGTAAAATATTAAACTTTAGTCCATTAAAAAAATTATTGGCTCTTTATTTCTTGGTCGAGCCAAACCTTATAGTCGATGGTGAAACAATATTTTCGACGGTTGATTATCTTTCACTTATTTTGTGATAAGAATGAGGTGTTTCAAATGTTTCAATTGGACTTATTATACGGTTAAAAAATGTCGAAAGATTCAAAAATTTCAAAAAGATTCAAATGTAGGCCCACTCAAACATATCAACCTAAAACTTTATTATTTTCGATTTTATAAATTTTGTAATGGTCAAATCAAATTAATTTTGTGGAGATTTAAGGGAATCGGGATTAAATCATATAAATACCACAAATTATGAATGAAATTGAGACACGTTTCCCTTGAAATTTTAATTTTGTGGAGATTTAAGGGGATCGGGATTAAATCATATAAATACCACAGATTATGGGTCAAATTGAGATCTCAAATTGAAACACGTTTCCCTTGAAATTCAAGCATCAATTATAGAATTGCATCTGAGTCATCCAATCAAATTTAGAATATGGTTCAAAATCTTGTTAGAAATTTAGAACCACGGTTCAAAATCTTCATCTTTGATTCTAGCTTTTATCTCTTGGTTTATCCGAATTTCATATATAGATCTTTGATTCTAGCTTTTTATCTCTTAATTGATCCGAATTTCATATAAGGAGGTGTTAATTTCAGTTGAATCTTACTTCTAGATAATTTATCTCGGTTGATCCCTAGATAACTTTATCTCTAACTTTATCTCTTGGTTGATCTAATGAATTTACTTCTAGATAATTTATCTCTATTGATCCCTAGATAACTTTATCTCTGAGTTGATCCTAGATAACTATAACTTTTATCTCTTGGTTGATCTTAATAATCCTCCGAATTTCATTTCATATAAGGAGGTGTTAAATCCTTAATAACTCTATCTAATAATGTATGTGTACGTTTATGTATATAGACGCACATTCATGCATAAAATAAAACATGCGCCAAAGATGGTAAATAATTACAATTAAACATTAAAAAAAAAAAAAGTTATAGAAAATGTAAAATTTACAATCTCAAGCTTTTGTTTCAATAATTTAATTTATACATCAAGATATAATAACTCTAATGTCTAATGGTGAATGGTAAAATTTGGGGTTCAACCATTTCTGGTGAAAATCAATCGAGTCCTAAAATACCGTAGTTTTTGTATGCTGAATTTGCTATTATGATATCAGAAGAACATATATCATCAACTACCAACTAGAGGATCATATCATCACATCACAGAGCCAATTTGATCTTCTCTGACCATTTAAAGATACCAGAATAGACTTGATCGCCTCCTAAATCTTCCCCTTCGGCCCCGGCTGCTACTCGAATTATATCTTCGATCAATGCAAAGTTTCCCATGATATCGACGTGAGCGCCGCTCTGCGTGCCTCGTCCTTCTAGCAAGTTTGACAGGGGAGAATGATTATACTCTTCTAACGTACGTTCGGATTCCTGAAGGATTATACCTTGTTTTCCCTCGCCAGCCTTTCGCGCACATGTAACCGGCGCTTAGAACGGGCACGGTTTCGTCTCCGTCGACGGTGTAGACTCCGTCCTTCAGACAGCCATTGTGATCACCATCGTTAGCTGCAGTATCAATCTGGAATGGAATGTAGCATTCGGCAGCAGGAGATAGCTTGTAAACGTAAGCTCTTTCGGTTGGTATTCCAACTCCATATAAAGAAAAGATCTCCATGTCTGGAGCATTTGGCAATCTGCAGGGCAGTTTGATATTGTACAAAAGTTTAATATAACATAAGACTGGATAAAGACTCTTTCTTATAGATCAAACGCATCAATCCAATCTCCTCCAATGATTTCTCCTTTAATTAAGTTCCTTCCTTGCTCCTCATGTAATGGTCCAAGCCCACCACTAGTAAATATTTTCTGTTTTGGTTCGGTATGTATCGCCATCAGCCTCACAGTTTTAAAATGCGTCTGCTGCTAGGGAGAGGTCACACCCTTATAAGGAAACGCCCCCTTGGAGGCTAGTATCTTTACTGGCACATTGTCCGATGTGCCAGCAAGGACGCTAGACCTCGAAGTGGGGTGGGTTTCTGAGATCCCACATCGATGGGAGACAGGAACGAGTGCCAGTAAGAGCGTTGTGCCTTGAAGGGGTGGATTGTGAGATCCCACATCTTGTTGGAGAGGGGAACGAAACATTCTTTATACGGGTGTGGAAATCTCCTCCTAGTAACACGTTTTAAAAACCTTGAGGGAAAGTTCAAAAGGAAAAGCCCAAAGAGGACAATATCTGTTAACGGTAGGTTTGAGCTGTTACACCAATCTTCGCCCTTTTTTCTTCCCTTTTTTCTTCAAATGTTGTGTATTAGAAATGTCAGTTATGAAACCTAAATCTATCTATATATATTTTCTTTTTTATGAAAACCAGAATTTAAAGCTTTGCTCTCCTATATCCGGGACACACCCATACCCATCCCAAGGCTCGGCCTTGGGAGGTATCAAGAGTTTTTGGTATTAAGCTCACTTGAAGGTTCGAACTTCAAACCTCTAAGTGGGTATGACCTAGAGACTCCATGGCAAGGGGGCCGCCCCTAGGGGCAAGATCAAAATCTATATATTTAAGTAAAATCAAGAATGATAAGATTCTAACCTCGTCTCCAATGGGTTTGACCAATATTTGTAGTGGTTATATTTCGGATCATCAAGGTTGTCAGCAATCCCATAAGAGAAATGGGCACTCCCACGTTCCATTGATTGTGGGGCAACATAATGAAGTAAATCTATCATAGATCCGGCTGTATAAACTTTGTAATCTGAGATTGCTCTAATACCCTCAATTCCCATGTCATGGTATTCAGTCCAAACGTCGTGGCAAGTAGTATTTGCAACATTATGACCCTTGATAGCATCCTACACGATAATAAGATGAACAACATAAGACTTCCTTGAAGAAAATCATCAAGGCAACTGATTTGGGTTCGTTTTTCATGTACCAATACAAGGAGAGAGCAAGCTTGCTTTTATTTATACGTTACCAAAGGATTGATTAATAAAAGTAAAAATTATTATGCTACAGAAAAATTATTATGGAGAGGGAACGAAACATTCTTTATAAGGGTGTGGAAACCTCTCCCTAGTAGGACAAGTTTTAAAAATCGTAAGGCTTCACGATTTTAAAACGCGTCTGGTAGGGAGAGGTTTCCACACTCTTATAAGGAATGCTTCGTTCCCCTCTTCGACCGATGTGGGATCTCACACTTCACCTCCCTTGGGGGCCAACCTTCCTCACTAGCACACCGCTCGGTGTCTGGCTCTAATACTATTTGTAACATTTGTCCTTGCTCTTGTTGTAGAATACAATAAAAGTAAAAATTATTATGCTAAAGAAAAGAGGTTTACCAAAAACTCAATCCTCTCGATCTCAGATGAATCTGCCTCTGCTATGTCTTTCCCAAATGATATCATCCTTCCATAGTGAACTTTCTTTGAAGAAGTATCTCCATAACCATTGTGCGTATCATCGCTTTTTAGCTTTCTTTTGCTGGGAACATGGTCATCTTCAGGTGACCAATCAAGGCCACCCCATATAATATCCCCTCCTTTGGGTATCATTGACATGGTCGAATCCCATGTACGAGTCATCTTCATTACATGCTGCAATGTTTGAATGCGAAATAGATCATTGTCCAAGAAAACCGGCGCAATGCCCCTGCATTATGGGAAGCAAGAGATGTGAACTCTTTGAGTCAACAAAAACGTATGGACTCAATGTTTGTAGATTGATATCAAACAAAGCTATTGTCAATGAAGTGAACCCACAGTAATTAAAAGCTGTTCGCATTTTGGTTTACAGAGCAGCCTTGAAACTACATACATGATCCAAAAAAGTGAAAGCTTTTTAACGACGTTGGAAATGAGTGTGACTTGATGTTCATCCAGGCAGACTTGGAGAATCAACAAGCTGAGAATTAGAGCCTTAAAACTATTGGTATAGAGAAAGGGATGCTCTGACATTCTTTCTCTGACATTGTGCGAGATCCTATATCGGCTGGAAAGGGGAATGAAACATTCCTTATAAGGTTGTGGAAACCTTTTCCTAGTAAATGCGTTTTAAAATCTGTGAGGTTGACGGTGATACGTAATGGGCCAAAGCGGATAATATCGACTAGCGATGGGTTTGGGATGTAACAAATGGTATCAGAGCCAAGCACTGAGCAGTGTGCTAGCGAGGACGGCTGGGCCCCTAAGGGGGTGGATTGTTAGATCCCACATCAGTTGGAGAGGGGAATGAAACATTCCTTATAAGGGTATAGAAACCTCTCCCTAGTAAACGCATTTTAAAAACCGTGAGGCTGGCAACGATACATAACGGGCCAAAACGGACAATATCTGTTAGCGGTAGACTTGGCTATTGTAAATGGTATCAGAGCCAGACACCGAGCAGTGTGCCAGAGAGGACGGTTGGGCCCTC